ATATATACTAGGAGGGGGAGGGGGTAGATGCTTGGGCAAGGGGCAAGGGGCAAGGGGGGCGCCGGCCTAGAGTCCTAGCCGGACTCGGCTTGGCGGCGGGAGGGCGGCTGGCGCTCGGGGCGGCCTGGCCGGCCGGCTGGGCCTTGGCCCAGGCGGGCACTGGCTCCTTTTTTTAAATAGTTCCGCGCGCAAAAAAACAAAGAAAAAGAAAACTAAACGAACTCCAAAAATTGTAAAGTAAATTTTCTCCGACTCCTAAAAATGAGCCGAACAAAATGAACTTTACTCCGGACCTAGAATGCAATTTTTTGAAAACACGCATTTTTCCCTATCCAAATAAAATGCAAATAAATTCCAGAAAACAAAAATTGATTTATCCATTAGATCTTCATTTTCCTAAATTTTTGGGAAAGTCATATTATTCCCTCTCTCATATTTGATATTGGAAAATAATTGAAGATGAAATAAATAAATCAATTGATCCTCTTTTCAAATTCGAGAAAACTCTCAAATATGAAAATAACGAAATCTCCAACTCTCTCCGAAGGTCCTTGAGTTGCGTGAAATTTCTAGGATCAACCAAAATGCAAGAAATATGATATGCATGATGATCTAGTGTATAACATTCCAAATTGCAAATTTGGGATGTTACATGGTAACGCAGGTTCGTCATAGATCTTCTTGTCTTCGTCAAGGGGTGGATCAACTGGTAGAGCACGAAGAAGTTCATCAACATGTGCTTTATAATGAGTGTCTTCACTCATCTAGTCCAGAGCCCATGTTGCAATGTCGTCAGCGTTTTCAGAGAAATGCACAGTGGTGTAGAACTGATGAATTAACTCTTCATTCCAGTCGCAGATGTCAGAGCAGAAGCTTAGTAACCCAACATCGTGAAGTACAGCCAATACAGGCTTGAAGCAGGGAATAGACTCCATATCCACATGAGGAATATGACGATGCGGAGAGATCTTATTCTTGTCAAACAACAATGAAGCATAATAGTTCATCTGTGTCTTTGTCCAGAAGTGCATGCGCCTTATCTTGGCTGAGTCACATGGGGACTCATCAACGAAGAAATCCTTCTCTTCGAAGAATTTGGCATTATCAAACTATGGTTGCCTGAGGCTTCTGCCAATCTTTGGCATGACAGGAACTAGTTGAAGATTTTGCTTCTTTGGTATTACATCAAACACTGGTCTTGGAGACCCAGTGGAGTCATGCGGATCAGTCACAGCAAGTGATTTAGCAATTCCTCAGCAGTAGCAGTTGGAACTGTATCAGTGTCTGCTGAAGGAATTGAGTCATCACACTAAGGGGATGTAGTGACGACATCCACCATCTGGTCATCTTATGCAGTTTCATCAACTGTTGCAGCTGGAATTTCTTCATTGATGGTCTGAAGAGACGGTTGTCTTCCCTCAGAGCCAATATGAATTTCTTCAATGCGTGCAGGCGACTGAGGCACTTGCGTGAGTGGTGTGGTGACGAGTGAATTTGGGTGAGCTGCTTCCCAAAATTCATCATGAAGTACGGGTGTTGTAGCACCGTCAATATCCACATCCTCTTCAGTTGCTTCACTACTTACATATGAAGTAGTGGCATTTTCTCCAGTCAACGGAGCTTGAGAGGGCTTCCATGACGATACTTCGTGACAACATGAAGTAGTGACAACATGCACGAGAAAAGGCCCACACTCACTACCATATTTCTCGCAACATGCAAGCATACCACTTCATCATGAAACATGCATGAAAAAAAGACCTATCTCAACATGCGAATTTCTATTCTATTATTCTATTTATATCGAATAAACATTTTACAACTATATAGTAATCAAACATATATATGTAGTTTCAGTTTTATCCTTTTATATATGTTTCATACAATGAATCACATTGAGATGTGTTGTAAAATATTCCCGCAACGTGCGGGGTATCATCTAGTTCTAGAAAAAGTTTCAGCAAAAAAAATTGTTCAGTTCACACTCACAATGCAGTGATGAACTGCATTTATGTATTATTATTATTTTGACCTAAGGTAATGAGACCATGCTGTATAGGGGAGGTTACAAGCCCAAAAGGGCCAAATTAGTGCAAAGTTGTCAACCAAGCAGAAAGCAGAGCTTGAAGATGGGGCTTAACCCTATGACCAATAAGACAGATATCTCTCTTAAACAGCACACGCCAAGTAGCCAAAGAAGGGGTCTGATGCTGAAATATACTGGACTACAAGTGTTGCGTTGTTTCCACACATTCCACAGAACACAAGTTGCCACCTCAAAGAAACAAGGGCCAGTAAAAGATTGTTTAGCCGAGCGGAACATGGCAGCCACATCATGACTTTGGGTCCAATTTATGCCAACCTGCCTCCAGCAGCGGCGAGCAAATGTACAGTTGAAGAATAGGTGCTCTCTGGTCTCTCTGCTGTTGCTTGCACACAAAACACAATTTAATCCCGAATCCTTGTGACAGTGTCTTCTATCCAACATGTCGCGGTATTGAGTCGGTCAACCAAGAACAGCCAAATAAACACCTTCAGTTTTGGCATGCAGCTTTTCCATATTTTCTTGAAAATAGATGGACACTCTAGACCGGCAAACATGAGCTTGTAGGTGCCAGCTGCAGTATACTGTCCTGTCCCTGGGGTACCTGAAAAAACCAGCAGTCCTGACCAGAACGAGCCTCCTGATCCATATTGAGCTCCAGGAGAAGCACCACCAGTTCTTGCAGTTCAACAAAAGCTTGCTCTGAGATAGGAATAGGAAAGTTCATCGCAAGTTCACGCAAATCCCTTGAACCCAAGAGCTCGGCCAACGAAACATCAGGATTAATTGCATATGAGAACAGGCGTGGGAATTTATGGGCCGTTAGAGGGTCACACCAGTTATCTTTCCAAAACAACACTGATAGACCATTATGAGGAGAGCAGACCGAAATTCCACAGAAAGAATGCATCAACGAACAGACGTCTCGCCACCAGAAGGACCCAACCATAGCACTAGCTTGTGGTGTGGTGTTTTGGTAATAAGCAAACTATGGCCTCTCGACTGAGTATGCAAAGACTTGCCAGAATAGTTTTGATTATTACACTCCACAAGTTAGTTAGCCAGCCCATCAGACACATGACCGGACAAACCTTAAGCCGAAAAGCCCCAAGGTAAGGTCGACCAAATCACCTTCACTAAGATTAATGCAAAATCAGTCTTTATTTCTTCAATATCATGCCCATGCATTTTCACCTTGAAGGAACAGCAATGTTGGTCGGAACTGGATGACATTGCGCCTACCTTGAACTTCAAATCTATAAAAGAATTGTCCATTACAGCAACAACCGACCTCTTTAGGCCTTGTGAATCAGCGATGGTTCCATCAAAGATCCGGATTTCTTCATTAAACCCACTGGCTAAACATCTGACGGACAAACTGAAACTGTTTTTCACTTCCAATATGAGAACCTCTACGGTCGCCTCAACTGCATGTAAAAGACGTGACAAAGTTATGTCAACTGAGCCACAATCGTCAGCAATGTGAAATTTGTATGGCCGATCCCATGAGCCTAAGGGGCCTATGAATGATGCACGACGAGCTCTACGTGGGGTCCATCAACCTGAGGCGCCTCAACTATGGGATCATCTCACTCATTCCCAAGGTGTCTGGGGCGTCGGACATTCGCCAGTTTCGTCCGATCACGGTCATTAATGTAATCTTTCGGATCTTGGCGAAAGGGTACGCCAATAGGGTGACCCTTCTTGCCGACCGCATTACTCACACCAACCAATCCGCCTTCATCCAAGGCCGATATATCCTGGATGTGGTGCTTGTCCTTCACGAAGTTCTGCATGAGGTCCGATCCAAACACCTCAAGGCAGTCTTTCTGAAGATTGACTTTCATAAGACCTACGACACTGTTAGCTGGCCCTTCCTTCGGGAAGTTCTGCTCCGGAAAGGCTTCGACGACCGTTGGATTTCCAGAGTGATGCAGATGGTCTCCCGCGGTCGCACGGCTGTGAACACCCATGGGGAGGTTGGCCCTTACTTTCCCACTCTCTGTGGTGTGAGGCAAGGCGACCCATTCTCCCCATTCTTGTTCAATATGGTGGTGGACACGCTTGCTGCCATCCTGGATAAGGCGAAGGCCGCGGGCCATATTCAGGGGATCACTCCCCACTTGGCCGGTGGCGCCGAAATTTCCCTGCTCCAATATGCCGACGACACCATCATCATGGTCAAGGGCTCGGACGCAAACATCGCTAACCTGAAATTCCTCCTCCTCTGTTTCCAACAAATGTCTGGTCTCAAGATCAACTTCGACAAGAGTGATGTGATAGTATTGGGATACTCCCCGGCGGAGGCCCTCGTCATTGCCAACCGCCTCAACTGCCGTCTATGCTCCTTCCCCACTACCTACTTGAGCACGCCCATTAGTGACTCTCGGCTTACTGTCGCGGACCTGTGCCCAACCGTGGCCAAGCTGCAGACTCGCATTGAGCCTTGGCAGGGGAGATGGCTGTCGAAGGCTGCTCAGACTATTCTCATCAACTCCTCACTCTCTAGCCTCCTCTTGTTCCTCATGAGCTTCTACAGCCTTCACGAGACTCTTCACCATGAGATCGCCAAAATCCCATCTCGGTTCTATTGGGCTGGCGATAACAATAAGCAGAAGTACCATATGGTTAGTTGGCCTGACATCTGCAAGCCTCGTGATCAAGGTGGCCTTGGTATCATGTGCTCTAAGCGCATGAATATTGCCCTCCTTTCCCGCTGGCTTTGGCGCATTTCACAAGGGCACGGCGGCCTCTGGTTAGACATCATCCGGAACAAGTACCTGCATGGGCAACCCCTAGCCTTCTGCAAAAGGTCTGGGGTTCCCTAGTTTTGGCAGTCAGTTATCCAACTGCTCCCCGTCCTCCGCATTGGAACCTCCATCTCGGTGGGTTCGGGGACGACGACTTTGTTCTGGCCTGACCGTTGGGCGGGTGACTCCCCCTTCGCTGCTCGCTTCCCCGACCTCTTCTCCATTGCCGTCGACCCCTCGATCTCTGTAGAGAGGGCCCTTATTGACTTAGGGCGCCTCGCTAGGCCATTTGGGCCTCCGGAGGCGGCCGCGTGGAATATGAGTTGCTTGACTGCGTGGCCCTGCACGAACCGATTGTGGATACTGGCCCGGATGAGGTGCGTGAAGGAAATATGCCCTAGAGGCAATAATAAAGTTATTATTTATTTCCTTATATCATGATAAAAGTTTATTATTCATGCTAGAATTGTATTAACCGGAAACATAATACATGTGTGAATACATAGACAAACAGAGTGTCACTAGTATGCCTCTACTTGACTAGCTCGTTAATCAAAAATGGTTATGTTTCCTAACCATGGACAAAGAGTTGTTATTTGATTAACGGGATCACATCATTAGTTGAATGATCTGATTGACATGACCCATTCCATTAGCTTAGCACCCGATCGTTTAGTATGTTGCTATTGCTTTCTTCATGACTTATACATGTTCCTATGACTATGAGATTATGCAACTCTCGTTTGCCAGAGGAACACTTTGTGTGCTACCAAACGTCACAACGTAACTGGGTGATTATAAAGGAGCTCTACAGGTGTCTCCAAAGGTACATGTTGGGTTGGCATATTTCAAGATTAGGATTTGTCACTCCGATTGTCGGAGAGGTATCTCTGGGCCCTCTCGGTAATGCACATCACTTAAGCCTTGCAAGCATTGCAACTAATGAGTTAGTTGCGGGATGATGTATTACAGAACGAGTAAAGAGACTTGCCGGTAACGAGATTGAACTAGGTATGGGATACCGACGATCGAATCTCGGGCAAGTAACATACCGATGACAAAGGGAACAACGTATGTTGTTATGCGGTCTGACCGATAAAAGATCTTCGTAGAATATGTAGGAGCCAATATGAGCATCCAGGTTCCGCTATTGGTTATTGACCGGAGACGTGTCTCGGTCATGTCTACATTGTTCTCGAACCCGTAGGGTCCGCACGCTTAAGGTTACGATGATAGTTATATTATGAGTTTATGCATTCTGATGTACAGAAGGTTGTTCAGAGTCCCGGATGTGATCACGGACATGACGAGGAGTCTCGAAATGATCGAGACATAAAGACTGATATATTGGAAGCCTATGTTTGGATATCGGAAGTGTTCCGGGTGAAATCGGGATTTTACCGGAATACCAGGAGGTTACCGGAACCCCCCGGGAGGTATATGGGCCTTAGTGGGCCTTAGTGGAAGAAGAGAAGAGGCAGCCAGGGCCGGGCCGCGCTCCCCTCCACCCCTAGTCCGAATAGGACAAGGAGAGAGGGGGCCGGCGCCCCCCTCCTTCTCTCTCTCTCTTTTCCCACCCCACGAATCCTATTCCAACTAGGAAAGGGGGGGAGTCCTACTCCCAGAGGGAGTAGGACTCCTCCTGGCGCGCCTCTCCTGGTCGGCCGGCCCCCCTCCCTTGAACCTTTATATACGGAGGTAGGGGCACCCCCTAGAGACACAAGTTGATCCACGTGATCGTATTCTTAGCCGTGTGCGGTGCCCCCTTCCACCATAGCCCTCGATAATATTGTAGCGGTGCTTAGGCGAAGCCCTGCGACGGTAGTACATCAAGATCGTCACCACGCCGTCGTGCTGACGGAACTCTTCCCCGACACTTTGCTGGATCAGAGTCCGGGGATCGTCATCAAGCTGAACGTGTGCTAGAACTCGGAGGTGCCGTAGTTTCGGTGCTTGATTGGAGGTGCCGTAGTTTCGGTGCTCGAGCTGAACGTGTGCTAGAACTCGGAGGTGCCGTAGTTTCGGTGCTTGATCGGTCGGGCCGTGGAGACGTACGACTACATCAACCCAGTTAACACTTTCGTTGTCGATCTACAAGGGTACGTAGATCACATTCTCCCCCTCTCGTTGCTATGCATCACCATGATCTTGCGTGTGCGTAGGAAATTTTTTGAAATTACTACGAAACCCAACAGTGGCATCCGAGCCTAGGTTTTATATGTTGATGTTATATGCACGAGTAGAACACAAGTGAGTTGTGGGCGATATAATTCATACTGCTTACCAGCATGTCATACTTTGGTTCGGCGGTATTGTTGGACGAAGCGGCCTGGACCGACATTACGCGTACGCTTACGCGAGACCGGTTCTCCCGACGTGCTTTGCACATAGGTGGCTTGCGGGTGACAGTTTCTCCAACTTTAGTTGAACCAAGTGTGGCTACGCCCGGTCCTTGTGAAGGTTAAAACAGCACCAACTTGACAAACTATCGTTGTGGTTTTGATGCGTAGGTAAGATTGGTTCTTGCTTAAGCCCGTAGCAGCCACGTAAAACTTGCAACAACAAAGTAGAGGACGTGTAACTTGTTTTTGCAGGGCATGTTGTGATGTGATATGGTCAAGACATGATGCTAAATTTTATTGTATGAGATGATCATGTTTTGTAACCGAGTTATCGGCAACTGGCAGGAGCCATATGGTTGTCGCTTTATTATATGCAATGCAATCGCGCTGTAATGCTTTACTTTATCACTAAGCCGTAGCGCTAGTCGTGGAAGCATAAGATTGGCGAGACAACAACGATGCTACGATGGAGATCAAGGTGTCGCGCCGGTGACGATGGTGATCATGACGGTGCTTTAGAGATGGAGATCACAAGCACAAGATGATGATGGCCATATCATATCACTTATATTGATTGCATGTGATGTTTATCTTTTATGCATCTTATCTTGCTTTGATTGATGGTAGCATTATAAGATGATCTCTCACTAAATTATCAAGAAGTGTTCTCCCTGAGTATGCACCGTTGCGAAAGTTCTTCGTGCTGAGACACCACATGATGATCGGGTGTGATAGGCTCTACGTTCAAATACAACGGGTGCAAAACAGTTGCACACGCGGAATACTCAGGTTATACTTGACGAGCCAAGCATATACAGATATGGTCTCGGAACACGGAGACCGAAAGGTCGAGCGTGAATCATATAGTAGATATGATCAACATAGTGATGTTCACCAATGAAACTACTCTATCTCACGTGATGATCGGACATGGTTTAGTTGATTTGGATCACGTAATCACTTAGAGGATTAGAGGGATGTCTATCTAAGTGGGAGTTCTTTAAGTAATATGATTAATTGAACCTAAATTTATCATGAACTTAGTACCTGATAGTATCTTGCTTGTTTATGTAATGATTGTAGATAAATGGCCCGTGTTGTTGTTCCGTTGAATTTTAATGCGTTCCTTGAGAAAGCAAAGTTGAAAGATGATGGTAGCAATTACACGGACTGTGTCCGTAACTTGAGGATTATCCTCATTGCTGCACAGAAGAATTACGTCCTGGAAGCACCGCTGGGTGCCAGACCTGCTGCTGGAGCAACACCAGATGTTGTGAACGTCTGGCAGAGCAAAGCTGATGACTACTCGATAGTTCAGTGTGCCATGCTTTACGGCTTAGAACCGGGACTTCAACGACGTTTTGAACGTCATGGAGCATATGAGATGTTCCAGGAGTTGAAGTTAATATTTCAAGCAAATGCCCGGATTGAGAGATATGAAGT